TTTTTTTTTTTTTTATTATACGTACTTACAAGGTTTTTCCCCTTTTTTTTTTTATTTCTTATCTTTTTTATTCTTTTTTTTTTTTTTCCCCTTTCTCTACTCATCGTCCAAGATTCATCGCACACAAGAGTCGCGTGTAAAGACGTATTTACGTGACACAATGAAAGGAAAAAAAAGAAGATGGAAAGACTTCAGTTACATAGTTTATCTGTAATCGTTATCCTATCCTTGTTTCATCTTTTACCACGAACAGCTCACCCTGTTCCAATTTGCTTTTTTTTTTCGTATTCGCATTTTTTTCTTTTTTTCTCTTTTTTTTTTTTTTTTTACTCCCGCTTATATTATACAATAATAATCCTATCGATCGTTTAAAATGTTCGGATTCACATCCATTCGAACGGTTTGTGTCCGTGTGTATACTTTTCCGCCATTTCTGTCTTCCTCTCTACACGCATGCACTCACGCATACTCCCTCTCTCTCTCCTTTCTCTTTCTCTCTCTCGCTTTCTTTCTTTTTTCTCTCTCGCTCATTTCTTTCACGTACAATCACACGTATACTTCTCTCTCTCTCTCTCTTTCGCTCGCTTTCGCTCGTTCGCTCACTCCCTCTTCTTATCCTTCTCACTTTTCTCTTCCCACCTTTCATTCCCCCCTTTCCAATATAACAGTATCGAAGTTGTCGTCGTCATAATTCAAGTACATTATGTTCAACGGTATCGATAAAGTTTTTTATTTCAATAAAATTTGTGGATAATGTCAATAATATTGTATAATAGATGATAATTATTCGACGATTTCACTGCGATTCGGGGCGAAAAATATGAAACTCGTTACTAGGCCAACTATGTTTTACCAAGATACGTCTCCACCTACGTTTCGTCCATTATTCGCCATTTTTCTCGTTTCATCCGCTTGTTCATTCTGGCCGCGTTTTATCTTAATCTTCAGGAACTTTGCGCGTTTTCTCGAAACCTATATCCCCCCTCGGGCCTAAGATTCTCTCTGTTTATTATATATTCTCCTCCTTTTCCTCCTGCGCCGATTCTCCATTTTTTTTTTTTCAATTTATCCTTATTAAATAACGATACTTATTATTGTTCATTAAAACGCTTGTCAACGTGATCAACGATAATCATTACGCTTATCTCGCCCTAATTCCCTCTTTCTCCTTTCCTCTTTTTCTTCTTTTTCTTCTTCTTCTTCTTCTTCTTTGATTTGAAACGAAAAAAGAAAAAGAAACGAATAGCAAATCTAAGCTTCGCAATTGTGATTGTCAAAATTTAATACGAAACGTTTATAATTTTCTTTCTTTTCTTTTTTTTTTCGCCAAATCATCATTCGATCATCGAGATAAAACGTTTCGTCCTCGTTATTGGATTTCGATCTCGATTCTGAAAAAATCGTGGATAATTCTCGTACGTAATATCCGTAAGCCGATTTTACATTTTCATCTCGCGATTTTCATTATCAGGGGAAAGAGAATCTTATCTATAGCGTAGAGCGTGTAGAATGAGTAGGATCTGTCACGCTGCGGATCGAGAAAAAAGGGAAATGCCAAACTTTTTCTTCGGAGACGCATCTCGGCAAAATAATTTATACAATAAAATTTGTGTCTGTGTTCCTGTTTTTGCGTGTAATGTAGTGTTTTGTGTGTGTGTGTGTGCGTGTGTATGTGTGTTTGGTATCAGTATTAGTAGTATTAGTAGTAGTAGTAGTAGTAGTAGGAGTAGTAATAGTAGTAGACAATGCAAGAACTCGAGCAACGGAAAATCTTCTGTAGATTTTTTTTTTTTTTTTTTTTTTTTTTTTTTTTAAATCCGCACGCATGACATCTAGTAGTAATCGATAAGTAGGTATTTTGTTATTTTTCTTCTCTGTCGTGAAATATATTAATCGATAACATTACGTACGTATTGTGTGTATATGCGCACGTGTGCGATATTATGCGATTTCTAATGTAAGTGTGTGCATATGTTGTTTAATGTGCGCACGTATATATGTATATATGGATGTCGAATGAGAAAAAGAGCACACACGATGATAATTGAGCATTGAGCGTTTAGAATTTTATTAGCGCACCTGTGTGGTCAAACTTTTTTTCTCTTTTTTAGATAGGAAAAAAAAATATATATATATATATATCGATGTATATATCGATCGATTTTCGGTTTCGACCTGTCTCTCTTCTTTTTTTTTACGCTTTCTTGCTACTTATCTTGTTTGATCTCTCGTNNTTTTTTTTTTTTTTTCGAAATAGATCTAGGAAGAAGAATAAATGAATGATATAAATAAATTTGAAGTCGAGTCAATCATCGAGATTTTTAGTAGTATCTATTTTTATATACGAATATAAAATACGAATGAAAAATAAATATTAAAATAATCCCGTTGCGCTTATCAATTAACGCTTTAACAATTAACGTTCTAATTAAGAAATTATACACACAGGTGTTTCGATAAAAATATTAATGGATTCCTTTTTTTTTTTTTTTTTTTTTTTTTTTCAAAGATAAGATAACTAGTAAATACAAACATGTGCGAAGATGACTTTGCAATAGAGACGAGTTCAATCAAAGTTCAATCTTTCCCGTTGGACACGATCGTCACGCGTACCGATCGTCATCGAATGGGATCGTGACCGAATCGATCAAAATTAGATCAGAATTAATGCGCTCTTTTCTCATTCTTTCATTGTTTAAAAAATGAATGTCGCGCAAAGCACATAATAATCTCGATACACTCGGTCGTGTTCCGTTTTCCTTCTATGTATTATACATATTCGATTCGTTCGGATGAAATATATACATACATATTTTATTGGATAAATCGAAAAAAAAAAAAATTTTCCCGGAATTCTAAATCGGTAATGTCGAACGTGGAAGGTATAATGTTTATATATTGGAAAAAATATATTGGAAGACATTCGGTAAAAAATGCGATTCGTTTCGACGATAAAAATAAATTGTGTTTATATTCGATACTCGATAGGATAAACTCCGGATAAATTTTGTCTTTACACTTTGAATTTTGTGCTTCTTATTTTCTCCACATTAGAACAATTATAGATAATGTTTACGAAAAAAAAAGAAAGGGAAAAAAAAGAAAAAAAAAAAAAGCGAGGAGGAATAGAGTGTAAATAGTGAAAACGAAAAGAAATAATATTAAACTTTACGCTTCATTGTTCGTTTCAACGATCAAACAAGTGATCAAACTTAGATAGAGTAGTTTGTAACATAAAATCCTCTTGTTCGACACAATCGATTTACATCGTCAACGCGTAATCCTCGATGAAGTGTTTCGAAGAAAATAAATAATATAACTTTTTTTTTCTCCCTATGCATCCGTATATGCGTGCCATTCATATAAATAATATATGTGTACGTAATAATTTTTATATATAGGATGATTCCAAGTGATGTTCAAAAATTTATGGATACATTATTCGTCTTCTTTTTTTTGAAAATTTTATCGCGTTTCTATCTCGGAATCGGAATCGGTGTATTCTCTTCACTCATTCGAGGGAGAACGAGAAAGTAAAGGAAAAAGTGTAAGCGTACACGATGTGCACCACGTGCACTTATATATATATATATATATATATTTATATATCCTTAGATTTATGAACAACCATTTACTCTCATCCTGTATATATTGTATATATATATATATGTATAATATATATCATATATATATACACACACCCACGGGCGCACATACGTTCACGCACGCACATACGTATATATGTAGATATACATGTAGATATAGATATACTTTCTGTTTTCTAATTTACAAGTATTAATCACTCGATATCGTGTTAACTTATTATTAGTACTCATTTAACATTGCGTTTATACGTCGAATATCGTTAATTTTTGTGATATATATTTATATATATATATATAATATAATATATATATATATATATATATCATCGATGTTACGACGGTATTCCACACGGACGTTTTCTTTCTTTTCACGTTAATTAACGTTTCTCTTCTCTTCTCTTTTCCTTTTTCTCATTTTAGATAGATCTTAAAAGCTTAAACGCGCGTATATATATCACCATAATTGATTCTTTTTAAGATCAATAAAGATACCGGTTGAGCGGTAGGTAGGTAGGTATATTTACTCGCTCTTCGCTCATTTCGCTCGCTTCATTTAACAACGAACATATTATATATTTATATAAGGTCGTCGACCAAAGAGACCTTTCCTTTGCAAAGCCCCGCAAACCTCGTCACCCTTCCCCTCCCTCCATCCCCTCCCTTAATATTTTTAGCCTCGAATATCCTTATCACCAGTTGTATTATAATTCATTGATTAACGTTAAAAATAAAATTTCCTATTACGAAAAGAATACTCGAGTCCAAAAAATGAGATTAAAACTCAGCGTTTTGTATTTGTGTATATGTGTGTGTATGTGTGGATGTGTGTGTGTGTGTGGATGTGACAAACATGTGGAAAACCGCCTTTCCTCATATACGATACATATATGTACATATGTATACACATATGCATGTATACGAATTGTATCTATACTCTGTACGTGCCACCGTTTTTCAAAGTTACTTATTCGAAGTAAAATACGTGGTAAAGACACGTACGCACAAACGCGTGCATACGCGCATACACACGCGACATACATATGTACACACAATAGTTGTACGTTTTTTTTTTTTATTTTTCTTTTCTTTGTTGAAATCCATATATGTATATATATATATACGACTTATCTCGTTAAATTCATTTTTTTTTTTTCTTCTTTTTACTTGATCGCTAAATTTACTCGTCGTTACGTCGTCGTTCGTTTTCTTTTTTTTTTTCTTTTCTTTTTTTACAGACATATAATATATATATATATAATATATATATATATTATGTCTCAAATTAGTCGACCATAACGATGATGCGTGTCGTCTCAACAACGAATACAGAGAGATGAGGAAAACAACGATGAAATATGATATAATAACAGTAATAACTACGGTAACGATATTATTATAATAATAGTATATAATACAGAAATAATAATAATGATAATGATAATAATGATGGCGATATGATAATTTAATCATTTAAATAATTAGAATAAAAAATAATGATAATCTTAAGTAGAGATAATAATAATTAAATAATAATAATAATAATAATAATAATAATAATAACAAAAATAACGATTAAAAAAGAATCTTGATAATTAATATAATATGCGATAACATGAATACTGTACGCGCAACGATAATCATAGTAACGACAACGACGACGATGATAATAATAATAATAATAATAATAATAATAATAGTAATAATAATAATAGTAGTAATAATAAATAATAAATAATAATAATAATGACAATATTGATCGCATCAATATTACATTATATACAGAGTTTTATTATTACGTGGTGTCGCATTGCCGTCCACGCAGAAAAGAAAACATCGTGAAATAATTACAGTCGAGACGAGAGTCGAGGTATAAACGAAAATCGCTTCGTACGTGCTTGTACCGATGGCATGCAATAAGTTGTAAACAGCAGGAGCAGCAATAATCGCAGAAGTAGTAATAGCAGCAGCAGCGATAGTAGCAGTAGTTGTAGTAGTAACGGTAGTAATTGTGTAGTGGTTGAAGTCGAAGATGTAGTATAGTATAGTTGTGGTTGCAATAACGGGATGCGGCAACAGCGTTGGTAGTGGCGATAATGATCGATGTGTGTGATAATATCAATAGATAAAATCTCGAAAATTTCGTTAAATTCGTTTTACTCCCTAGCACGTGTGCACATTTCCCCGTCGATAAATCTCGAAATAGATAAAAAAAGGAATTTTGTACTTATAAGATCGAATCGTTCGAAACGAAAAATTATTCTTTCAGTGATATTTTTAATAAATATTACGTTCAAGATTTATTACGTAGGCAGATTTATGGACAAGAATGTGCACCACGCCTATATTATGGCAATTTATCACTGTAACCGATGATTCGATTTTTCGATCGATATATATAATATCGATAAAACGCGACAATAAACTTCGATCGATGCGTCTATCCAATAGCGGATGAGAGATTAAGATATAGCCGGCGTAAGAACGTAAAGTACTTTGAAATTGTCATCACTCGCGCATAATAAAGTCATGCGTGTATCGAAAACATTCTTCGGTCGTTCGATCGATTGCGAGGGAAGTGTGTTTGTTTCCCGCACAAGTTCTAAAAGCAAAGTTCACTCCCTTCTTTAAGATTCTCTCCTGTCAAACAATTGAATATCGTTCGTTGTACAGAGGAGTAGCACCAACGACATTTTTTTTTTTATTATTAATTTTTTTTTTATATATATATATATATTTATACATATATATCAACGCGTAGCGCGTTTGGAAGACGAAAAAACGAGAAGGAGATGTGGTGCGGAAGTTGGTGTGTTAGTGTGTTG